TACATTCATCAAAATGGAAAAATTTTCCCTTCGAATCTAGTTAATCTAGAGTAGGTAGCTTCATTTTCATACCACGACCTGATTTCAATACCACAAAGGCGCAAAAAATACCTGATAAAATAGATTTTTTCTTACTGCATTACCATTTAATTGATAAATAGTCGAAAAGCGCTGTGGGTAAGAAAGTAAAATTACGATACGCAATCACAAAAAGCCAATAACTAATTAACAAAAACACCCAAAATTTTGTATAGATTATCTAGAACGAAAGTAAACTCGTACACTTGCAAAAGCAAAAAATACATCAATCACACCATACATTAATTTTCGACACATAAATCCAGCCTGCGAACCGATTCAATGTCACCCCCTCGACCAACAGTCAACCGATAATCAAATTATCTTAATAATATAAACTGAAACATACGCCAATTGCTCACACATATACTGCCAGATACTCGAATCGGCGAATCTCGAATGCGATAACGCAGGTAATCAGCCTCACTAGAGTAGGGTTGCTTTGGTGTTTCGACAATAACGTTCATTTATAAAACCATATGGTAAATAAATTTCATCAAAGCCAGTATGTATGTATGAAAATGAACTTGGAAAACAGAGTGTATAGGGACGAGGAGTGTCGAGCGCAGCGAGATTTCCAGTAAAAAAAAACCTGGAAAAATCAAGAGTCCACGGGGACCATTAACCACGAGCGAATGGGTCTCGAGAATCGCGGGCCACTTATTCCGCGCTCAGTGTTCGAAAGAAGAAAGCCAACAGCTGCATTACACAAGCCTTGGCTTTCCTGGAAGTTTTTATTTTCCACGCCGTCGCTTCTTCCCTCGACTACGGGGATCAACTTTTTTTTCCCTCTCATTCCTTCGACTCTGCTTTCAAAGTTTTCACTCGGAACTTTGTTCTTTCATAGCCTTTGTTTGTTCTAAATGAGAAAAAAAAAATTCTTTTTCTTCTTGTTTATTTTTTTACGTGATATCGTCGGTGGATCAACGTGCGAAACTTTATGGCTACGCGTGTCTCGATGAAATGCTTCGTCCAATGGAACACCGGGAGATTTTAGTCTTGCACACAAATGCAGAAATTCACTTACACTCCAGGCACTTTATATCTGTCGGAACGATTTGTCTACACACGGTCAATGATGTTCTGTAACATATAATATAATCAAGACTTTTACTGTCACTTAACAGGTAATATTTTTCATCGTTCCAATAGATATAAAGTGCCTTCAGTGTACATACAGCATTGGTTTTAATAGAATCCATTTGAAATAAATGTGTCCTTATTGCTGTGTTAGTGATCGATGTTCAATAAATCTAAGGTTGGTATTTAACCATATCTGTTATCATTTAAAATACTAGATTTTTAGATGTAATTTTCTAGGCTGAAGTGCATTTGCTTGTTGGACTATTTATCCGTGAATATCGTAGTTTCTGGTATATCCACGATAAAATATTGTACTGTGATGACATCTAATAACCATAGGTACTGATTCAAGGTTTGAATGTATTTATTCACATTAGTATTTTGAAGACAATTTTGAAAGATCGTTAATACTCGAGAGCAGCACCTATCAAACTACAAGGAGTTGGTAGTTCGTTTCATGAAAAGATTTGGCGTAGTAAAACCTGACATTTAAAATAAAGAACTACTTAAAGATGACATTGAATTTTTTTTCTAGATAAAATACAAATTAAATAGAATGCAAACAAAATTCAGCGAAATCTTTGAAGTAAAAATTATAAAAATAAAATTTAATAAAAGAAGGATCCTGTCCAAGTCTATAGATTTATATATATAAAAGATATCTGGCAACTGCTGTTTAAGTACGAATAGTCATTTTAAGTTTTTTAGCATACAAAAACTAGCTGTACTACACCTAAATTTTCTTTATATTCCATAATATAAGAAATTAAAAATGCTGATACTTTCTTCCTATCTATGTTTAATAGTAGAACATCTTATGTTTCAACTAATTAAGATTTAGAATGAGATTTTTCATACACAACAAAAGATCCAGGTCAGGTCTTTTTTCTTTCAAGGATTCAAACGTCCAGAATTTCACTTATCCAAACAATCTTCAAACATATGAACAGTAAATATAAAGGAACCAGATAAACAATTTTGGATAACGTTGGATGAATATTTTATTGATATTGGCCGATATTTCATTACACTTCAACTAACTTCCTGAAGACCTGTATTAAATTTTACAAGCAACTGTAAAAATAGAATTTTAATTGAACAAAAATAGAAAAATCAATTACATGGGTGTATTGGCAAAACATTGATTCTTAGAAAGAATGACTACATAAGTAATGCCTTTCATACGCAGTTGGATACAACAATCAAATTTTTTTCTTGCACATGTATCTGGAATTCTAGCATTCCTGCTTTTTATAAGCCAAGACTTGTATCCACATTTCAACTTCCATCACGATTCGGACTATTACACATTTTGTTCAAAAAAATCTATTAAGTTCCATTACAAAAATCCTCGCAAAGCTAAGAGTCCTTTATCCAACCTTTCTTGAAATGCACTACTTTTTACCGATACCCAGTAGTCAGTTTGATACTTTTCATTTTTTAAATATCTTCTCGTTTAACCAATGAAAATTATCCAGCACACGATAAAAATTTCAACATTTTTCCTATCACTGCTTACAGCCGCTAACCATTCGATTATCGTATCAAAATTTACAATCATGATCCCTTGCGTCAAACATTTGACGATTTATTCACCACACAAAACCAACAGGAAAGGGCCCCCTTTAGCAGCAAGGCTCGTTAAGGATAACACCGCACGGCCACTAATTACAATTACGCTCGTGGAATTATGAGCCAGGCAGCCCTCGCGTTCCAAGATAAAGGCTCTGGTCGTACGAGCAATAAGCGAGCGGGCTGTGGTTGGGATATAACGCGACCGTTTGGTGATTAGTGCGCCGTGTACATGTATACCTCTATGAATACCTATGTCATACTTAAATACGTATCATAGGTATTGGGTAGGTGGATTTTTGTAAGTGAGATGGATTTGTATCGAAGGAATACTATGGATTAACTTTTCGAGAGTCGATTCATCGCGGCTGAGAGAGAATATGTTTTTTATATTTTGAGCGAGATTTTAACTTTCTAGTTTCAGATCCACCAATAATGGTCAATCACTTTATTTTATTTTATTTTATGTTTAAAAGCTATTCATTTATGTACTGAAAACCTTTTAAACTGAACTTTTTTTTAGTTTTTATATGAAATAAAATGTAATATTAAAAGTTTGAATAGCTCAAAGTTGGATAATTAAAAAAGTTTTCAAGAAATTTTCATCTATGTAATTTTTTTCTAGGTTATTATGTAAGTAACAATGATTTTCAATTAAACATAATAAAACACAATTTATTGTTAAACACTCAAAAACTGACTCATCACTTGCAATTTGATTATCAAGGCAAAAACTAGACGCATTTTTTTCTAGTACTAAAAAATTTTATCTAAAAAAAAAAACTTTATTTAAAGTGTATAACAAAAGAATGACGTGATAATTGGTTATATCGTGGAGTTAAATTTTTTCACGTACCACACGTTTCGATCGTTTCGTGTTGGGCTTTCCAATGACTTTCTAAGAACGAATAGACAAAGAAAACTGTCACATAGTCCACAGTCAAAAAAGTGTAGTACATTTTCAATTTCCAAAGAAAAATGTACAAGCATACAAAAAAAATTATCAGCTACATTATCAAGACTGAAAAAAAGACTTTGTCAATTCAAATAAACGTCTATACAAATACAAATAAATATTTTTTTTTAATAAAAAATTTTTTATTTAAACTTTTTAAATATTACGTTAAGCAAAATTAACATTATTTTGTTCGAATAAACATTTTATTTTAATATAAATTTTTTTTGTATTCGTGTAAGCATTAATTTGAATTAACAAAATTTGGTTTTTCAGTGAAGTAATGCTGCGTAGCGTTACTAATGCCACACATAGCTGTTTGTACGTCATTAGCGATACTTATCTTATCTCAACGAAAGTTGCTTTTAGAAATTTATTACTATGTGAACGTCGTTTTTTTTTATTAGTGAAGCCACTGTTTAACTTTGTGGGCTCAATCTACCCGTGGTCGGTAAGAAAATAATGTGAAGATTCTTATTACGATTATTATAAACAATTTTTAAAATTATAGCATAAATATTCATAACTCTATAGCATCGTAATTGAGCAGGTTGAAATAATTTTATTAAGTACGCTGGAATACGTGGCAAAGTATTTTATTTAACAGAGTAAAAAAATTCAATTAGTTTTGAAAAAGCATTAAACTTCGCAAAACTAGAACAACAAAATCGTCGTTTGATCTAACGATTGGGGATTTCAGATTTAAAAGGGGAGTTTTATTTTGATGATAACATTGTTTCCAATTTAAAAATGGGGGATTCTTTTTACTTTGATAATATATAATTCTCCAAACATACTATCAGACTAGCTAAGTGTATTCTTTTTGCTGCACAAAATTTTTCTACTACGATATTGAGTAAAAATTGTTTTCTAGCAATCAACTGCAAAAAATTTTATGTTCAAGATTTATTGGTATAGAATATGGAATTAAATACTTGTATACTTTTTCAAACACTTCAACACTTTTTTTTTTAATGGTTTTTTCTATGAAATTCTAATACATATTGAACTTTGTTTTGTCAAGCAACGTATTATAATAGTAATAAGCTTTCTTCGGTTGGATTTTTATTTCTCACCGATCACTAAAAGCACACTATTTTTGTAACGAAAAGTAAAAAAGTATATAACAATAGTCTCTATCCAAACAAAAATTCTCAACAAGCTATTTACTGTGTTTTATTAGTTAAATTATAAATGAAGTAAATTGTAACTCAATTAACAATATATTATGGTCTTATTTGATTATATTAACAAACATTGTACTTCCAAATCACCTTCAATTGATATTTTTAACTAACAGGTTTTGAAAAAAATGGAAGCAGAATTAGCTCAACTACAATCGAAATGCTTGGCTGATGGCATTCCAATCAAGTTCGTGAATTACAAGGGTCTCTGGGTCCCAGATACTTACGCAGAAATTGCCGATGCCATAGAAAATTTTGAAGTACGTGACGATGACGTTTGGGTCTGTGCTTTTCCAAAAACAGGTAATTATTTACATTCACGTGACCCTACTTTTAGAAATCTGTTAATATTTTCAAATAATTTTAAATATAAAAATGTTCAATTGTTTCAGGTACGACTTGGACCCAAGAAATGGTTTGGAGTATCTTAAATGACATTGACTCAGAAGCCGCTAAAGTCCCTATAGGCACAAGATTTCCTTTCATTGAGTAATTAATTTTCTTGTATTACCAAGGGTCAAAGTTTTACTACTTCTTGTAAAAAATTAATATACATATATTTAAATACATGTCAATACAGACATACTGGAACAACAGTAACAGGCTGGATATCACTGAGAAAATCCAAGGATGGACTACCGGATTATACTACGAAAAGCGTCGAGTTTGCCTCGAATCTGTCAAGTCCCAGATTTCTCAAGACTCACTTGCCGTTTCATTTGTGGCCTCGACAATTACGCACTGGGGAAAAGAAAAATAAAATTATCTACGTGTCGAGGAATCCAAAAGATACCTGTATTTCTTATTATCATTTTCATAAGTTTCTTCTTGGTTACATCAGTACTTTTGACAATTTTATCAAATTGTTTTTAGGAGATAAAGGTAAGAAAATTACGGCTGAATGTACTTTTTTGGAATTTTTATTATTTCACGGTAAAGCTCTAGGGAAAAAACTGTTTTTTTGCTTTAATTTTGACCCTACATTCTGCACGTTTACCTTAGATTAAGCTATAAATTTTAATATTATCTTGTTTTACGTTTTACTACTCTTAAAACGGCCTTAAAAATTTTTTTATGGCATCAAAATTTTTACTTCAATATTTTAAAACCAACAGCTATGTATAAAGATATGATTTCTTAAAAAAAATTTTTTCATTTTTGTTTACCATACAGTATTTGGTACAATGTTTCACTAATACTCTCGAAGGCAAGAATCGTTATTATTGACAAAAAAGTTCATTTATGATACTATCCAAGTCACTCATTCGTTTTACACATGTTTCTTAAATTTATTTTATTTTCTTAATCAAACTGATATTAATTCTTAGAAATTGAAATATTCTATTGCATATTACAATTTTTGTGCATTGTAATAATGTTTAAGTCTTGCAAGATGTGATATACTGGCATAAATGAACAATGTACTTCACTTGAATAACAATTAATAAGTATTTTATTTTTCAGTATTGTATGCACCTTTTTGGCAGCACATTATTGGTTTTTGGGAGAATAGAAACAAATTAGATGTTTTATTTCTCAAGTATGAAGACATGAAGGCCGTAAGTTTCTTTTTGACAATTTTCCATGATAACCGACAACTTAAACACTCAAAAACTGACTCATCACTTGCAATTTGATTATCAAGGCAAAAACTAGACGCATTTTTTTCTAGTACTAAAAAATTTTATCTAAAAAAAAAAACTTTATTTAAAGTGTATAACAAAAGAATGACGTGATAATTGGTTATATCGTGGAGTTAAATTTTTTCACGTACCACACGTTTCGATCGTTTCGTGTTGGGCTTTCCAATGACTTTCTAAGAACGAATAGACAAAGAAAACTGTCACATAGTCCACAGTCAAAAAAGTGTAGTACATTTTCAATTTCCAAAGAAAAATGTACAAGCATACAAAAAAAATTATCAGCTACATTATCAAGACTGAAAAAAAGACTTTGTCAATTCAAATAAACGTCTATACAAATACAAATAAATATTTTTTTTTAATAAAAAATTTNCTTACGTACTACCATTACATCAACGTATAGATGTACCCTATCACTATTCTTTATTTCTGTCATACCCTACTATTAGCACGAATGAATACTTTTAGTTTGATTTTATATTGAACAACTATTTTTTTTTAAGGTAAAATTAATATTCCAACTACTCTAGACAATTGTTTATTAATTTTGGAAGGATACCCAAACACTGTATTTGAAAATTTGATTCTAATTAATCTGATTCAATAAAAAAGATTTATATTACAGATTGACTCATTGATTGTATCGTAAAGCTACGTTTTTTTCCTTTTCTTATTGATACCTATGTTATTTAAGAGGATGGAGGATAATCGAGTTATTCAACAGAAAGCTATTTTACCGAAAAAGTACCTTTCCCAAGTAATAGTTATCATCTCATGCAGTATAAGAGCTGGAATGGAATATGAGGTGCCAAGTGTGACATGCTTAGATGATATTGTTTAAAGCTAAGAATTTTTTTTTAATTTTTAAAGAAATCAACATTAACTTATGTAGTAAATCATTATGTAGCTACCCTCTCTTCCTTAAATGATAAACAAAAAATTAAATTTTAATCAGACTATAACTATTAGGTAACAAGTGCAGAAAAGGCCAAATATGGCACAAACTATCGGGATTAGTCTAAGGTTTTAGAATCGTATCACTCGGGCTGAGTACAAGAATCTTTGTAATAATGTGAAGAAAATAGGTATTTATCCTATTTCGGGCGTTTTTTTTACATTTGGACGTTTACTGTGCTTTTAGTAGGAAATAGTATACTTAACACTCCATTAAAAAAAATCTTGTATACTATTCATGCGGTATAATTCTAACACTTGTGAGATAATATTACACTCGTAGTCGTATGTCGGAAACTCATGTGAGCTCATCGCTACTTGTGCAGGAAGCTGTTTTTCACACACCTTACGTGAACTATTCTTTATTAAACTCTGGGTAAGAAAATACTAATTTATTATATGATCCATTGACTATTTTCGTTGATTACAAGATATCAGTTCATAAGGACCTTGGTTGAAGTAAGAAATGTATGCTTTTTTTCATTACCTTTTTGAAATTCAGGTGATATCAGTGATTGTTTCACTGATGATTCAACAACTATCGTGTTAAAAAAGTCAAAAGTGGAGGATATTTATGATGGTCATTTAAATGGAGATAACGTTTAAAAGTTAATATCATAAATAACATCTCAAGGTACTCATAATTTGAACGAGATTTGAATGTTCTACTTCAAGATCTGCCAATAATTTTAAATCGTTTTATTTCAAGTTAATAGCTAATTATATACTTAAAATTTTAATGCAATTTTATTATTTCAAGTACTGAAAATAATTTAAATGGAAACTTACATAAAAGTGCACTACGTCAAGACAAACGAAAAGATAACGTATAAAAAAACTTTTGCGGAAGCAAATCGTATGGTAAAATTAAAGAAATTTACGCCAATTTACAAACTTTTTAATCGTTTACTCAGAGAGAATATAAATTATAAATCCGCATTGCAACGGAAAAAAAAAAAAAACGTGGTAAGTATTAAAATCTTCCATACGAACTCGCACGAAAATACGTAACTTTTTCAAAACAACATTGAATACCACGAAGTATTGCTGAAATGCCATGTGTAGCCTTTACACATTCTGGGATGAGTTATTTGTTCACCACAAACAATGTTGTTCTTATCTTAGGAAGATAATCCATTGAGAAAGCAAATATTCTGGGAATGCCTTGTTTTCACATAAATGAAGCAACTGTTCCACATCACGCATCACAATCTACTTGTTGTTGATAAAAATTACTCAAAGATTTTCGTAGCGATTTCCGCATTTATATATCTGGTAAAAAATATTTATATTTTTAAACAGTGTGCAAATTCGATCAACCATAGCAACGTAGGAAGATCGCGGTTAAAGCTAAGTTTTTCAGTTTAATGAAATACGTGGTTTTTCACGCACTACTAAAGAAAGGACTGCATCAAGTACGTTAGTCGAGGCCTAGCTTACCACCTTGAACTGTACTTCGTGGGCTATTAGTTTCACGTTGTCTAGCGTTCCGTCTGCGTCTGGCTAGCAGAAACAGGTATTTTTATTGAAATTTATTAATAACGAGCCCGTGGACATTGTTGAGGTCGGAAAATTCTTGTCACGTATATCCTTTGTTTTTCCCAAGTGTTTAGCTAGACAATTCCGTTAATTCCAAAGGTATAAGTTGAAAAAACAAGGATGAAAGTGCAAAAATTTTCAAAGCATATTATTTAAGAGAAACAATAATCAAGGTAATTTTACAAACGCGTGAGACTCAGCAAAAGCTATAAAAACACCAATTTCAATTACGATTGGGAATTCTAGCTCATAAAATTATTTATTTGTTTTGATAATAAAATTATTTATGAAAGCAAAATAATTAACTTTTTGCTTACTTTCTACGCTCCACTCGGCATGTATTGAATGATAAATAATGACACTAAAATAAAACCTCGGACTTGATTATTTCAAAAAAAATTATTTTATAAACGATTTTGCAAAATTATGTTCAACCTGAATACACTTACAGTCGAGGAGCTACTACGCCTTTAACATAATCAATAATTATTATAGATTTTTATTTCTCGACGAAAAGCACTTAATAATAGTCCGAGCTCAAAAAGCAATCAATTCAACAACCGATTTTTCGTCTTTTTATTTGTTTAGTTCGCATAAAATTATAAATGAAGTAAATTGTAACTCAGTAAACAATATTTCATGGTTTTATTTGATTATATTAACAAACATTGTACTTCCAAATCACCTTCAATTGATGTTTTTAACTAACAGATTTTGAAAAAAATGGAAGCAGAATTAGCTCAACTACAATCGAAATGCTTGGCTGATGGCATTCCGATCAAGTTCGTGAATTACAAGGGTCTCTGGGTCCCAGATACTTACGCAGAAATTGCCGATGCCATAGAAAATTTTGAAATACGTGACGATGACGTGTGGATTTGCACTTTTCCAAAATCAGGTTATTATTTTATTTTTTTGCTACCCAGTTTTCGAAAACCTATTAATTGTTCCAAAAAATTTTAAATAAAAAATAACATTTATTTTAGGTACGACTTGGACCCAAGAAATGGTTTGGAGTATCTCAAATGACGTAAACTCAGAAGCTGCTAAAGTCCCTTTACACGCCAGATCCCCTTACATCGAGTAATTAATTTTCTTGTGTTTCAAATAATATAATTTTTGTTTTCAATGAAAATAATGAAGCCATTTATATACCCAATCACACGTACAGATTCACTGGAACAACAGTAACAGGTTGGATATCACTGAGAAAATCCAAGGATGGACTACCGGATCATATTACGAAAAGCGTCGAGTTTGCCTCGAATCAGCCAAGTCCCAGATTTCTCAAGACTCATTTGCCGTTTCATTTGTTGCCTCGACAATTACGCACTGGAGAAAAGAAAAATAAAATTATCTACGTGTCGAGGAATCCAAAAGATGCCTGTATTTCTTATTATCATTTCCATAAGTATCTTCTCGGATACATAAATTTGATGATTGGACATCTGAAAATTTGAAAGATCATCCAGATTTGCAAAAAATATTCATATAAGATTGGTTCAATTGGAAAAAACGATATATTATTATATTAAAACCACTTTCATGTCAAATTAAACTTCTTAAAATAAAAATACGGTTCCTTTGTAGGTACTAATCAAGTGGAAAATATTAATCTATTGCATACTTGTAACACTGCTTACGTACTACCATTACATCAACGTATAGATGTACCCTATCACTATTCTTTATTTCTGTCATACCCTACTATTAGCACGAATGAATACTTTTAGTTTGATTTTATATTGAACAACTATTTTTTTTTAAGGTAAAATTAATATTCCAACTACTCTAGACAATTGTTTATTAATTTTGGAAGGATACCCAAACACTGTATTTGAAAATTTGATTCTAATTAATCTGATTCAATAAAAAAGATTTATATTACAGATTGACTCATTGATTGTATCGTAAAGCTACGTTTTTTTCCTTTTCTTATTGATACCTATGTTATTTAAGAGGATGGAGGATAATCGAGTTATTCAACAGAAAGCTATTTTACCGAAAAAGTACCTTTCCCAAGTAATAGTTATCATCTCATGCAGTATAAGAGCTGGAATGGAATATGAGGTGCCAAGTGTGACATGCTTAGATGATATTGTTTAAAGCTAAGAATTTTTTTTTAATTTTTAAAGAAATCAACATTAACTTATGTAGTAAATCATTATGTAGCTACCCTCTCTTCCTTAAATGATAAACAAAAAATTAAATTTTAATCAGACTATAACTATTAGGTAACAAGTGCAGAAAAGGCCAAATATGGCACAAACTATCGGGATTAGTCTAAGGTTTTAGAATCGTATCACTCGGGCTGAGTACAAGAATCTTTGTAATAATGTGAAGAAAATAGGTATTTATCCTATTTCGGGCGTTTTTTTTACATTTGGACGTTTACTGTGCTTTTAGTAGGAAATAGTATACTTAACACTCCATTAAAAAAAATCTTGTATACTATTCATGCGGTATAATTCTAACACTTGTGAGATAATATTACACTCGTAGTCGTATGTCGGAAACTCATGTGAGCTCATCGCTACTTGTGCAGGAAGCTGTTTTTCACACACCTTACGTGAACTATTCTTTATTAAACTCTGGGTAAGAAAATACTAATTTATTATATGATCCATTGACTATTTTCGTTGATTACAAGATATCAGTTCATAAGGACCTTGGTTGAAGTAAGAAATGTATGCTTTTTTTCATTACCTTTTTGAAATTCAGGTGATATCAGTGATTGTTTCACTGATGATTCAACAACTATCGTGTTAAAAAAGTCAAAAGTGGAGGATATTTATGATGGTCATTTAAATGGAGATAACGTTTAAAAGTTAATATCATAAATAACATCTCAAGGTACTCATAATTTGAACGAGATTTGAATGTTCTACTTCAAGATCTGCCAATAATTTTAAATCGTTTTATTTCAAGTTAATAGCTAATTATATACTTAAAATTTTAATGCAATTTTATTATTTCAAGTACTGAAAATAATTTAAATGGAAACTTACATAAAAGTGCACTACGTCAAGACAAACGAAAAGATAACGTATAAAAAAACTTTTGCGGAAGCAAATCGTATGGTAAAATTAAAGAAATTTACGCCAATTTACAAACTTTTTAATCGTTTACTCAGAGAGAATATAAATTATAAATCCGCATTGCAACGGAAAAAAAAAAAAAACGTGGTAAGTATTAAAATCTTCCATACGAACTCGCACGAAAATACGTAACTTTTTCAAAACAACATTGAATACCACGAAGTATTGCTGAAATGCCATGTGTAGCCTTTACACATTCTGGGATGAGTTATTTGTTCACCACAAACAATGTTGTTCTTATCTTAGGAAGATAATCCATTGAGAAAGCAAATATTCTGGGAATGCCTTGTTTTCACATAAATGAAGCAACTGTTCCACATCACGCATCACAATCTACTTGTTGTTGATAAAAATTACTCAAAGATTTTCGTAGCGATTTCCGCATTTATATATCTGGTAAAAAATATTTATATTTTTAAACAGTGTGCAAATTCGATCAACCATAGCAACGTAGGAAGATCGCGGTTAAAGCTAAGTTTTTCAGTTTAATGAAATACGTGGTTTTTCACGCACTACTAAAGAAAGGACTGCATCAAGTACGTTAGTCGAGGCCTAGCTTACCACCTTGAACTGTACTTCGTGGGCTATTAGTTTCACGTTGTCTAGCGTTCCGTCTGCGNAATTCCAAAGGTATAAGTTGAAAAAACAAGGATGAAAGTGCAAAAATTTTCAAAGCATATTATTTAAGAGAAACAATAATCAAGGTAATTTTACAAACGCGTGAGACTCAGCAAAAGCTATAAAAACACCAATTTCAATTACGATTGGGAATTCTAGCTCATAAAATTATTTATTTGTTTTGATAATAAAATTATTTATGAAAGCAAAATAATTAACTTTTTGCTTACTTTCTACGCTCCACTCGGCATGTATTGAATGATAAATAATGACACTAAAATAAAACCTCGGACTTGATTATTTCAAAAAAAATTATTTTATAAACGATTTTGCAAAATTATGTTCAACCTGAATACACTTACAGTCGAGGAGCTACTACGCCTTTAACATAATCAATAATTATTATAGATTTTTATTTCTCGACGAAAAGCACTTAATAATAGTCCGAGCTCAAAAAGCAATCAATTCAACAACCGATTTTTCGTCTTTTTATTTGTTTAGTTCGCATAAAATTATAAATGAAGTAAATTGTAACTCAGTAAACAATATTTCATGGTTTTATTTGATTATATTAACAAACATTGTACTTCCAAATCACCTTCAATTGATGTTTTTAACTAACAGATTTTGAAAAAAATGGAAGCAGAATTAGCTCAACTACAATCGAAATGCTTGGCTGATGGCATTCCGATCAAGTTCGTGAATTACAAGGGTCTCTGGGTCCCAGATACTTACGCAGAAATTGCCGATGCCATAGAAAATTTTGAAATACGTGACGATGACGTGTGGATTTGCACTTTTCCAAAATCAGGTTATTATTTTATTTTTTTGCTACCCAGTTTTCGAAAACCTATTAATTGTTCCAAAAAATTTTAAATAAAAAATAACATTTATTTTAGGTACGACTTGGACCCAAGAAATGGTTTGGAGTATCTCAAATGACGTAAACTCAGAAGCTGCTAAAGTCCCTTTACACGCCAGATCCCCTTACATCGAGTAATTAATTTTCTTGTGTTTCAAATAATATAATTTTTGTTTTCAATGAAAATAATGAAGCCATTTATATACCCAATCACACGTACAGATTCACTGGAACAACAGTAACAGGTTGGATATCACTGAGAAAATCCAAGGATGGACTACCGGATCATATTACGAAAAGCGTCGAGTTTGCCTCGAATCAGCCAAGTCCCAGATTTCTCAAGACTCATTTGCCGTTTCATTTGTTGCCTCGACAATTACGCACTGGAGAAAAGAAAAATAAAATTATCTACGTGTCGAGGAATCCAAAAGATGCCTGTATTTCTTATTATCATTTCCATAAGTATCTTCTCGGATACATCAGTACTTTTGACAATTTTATCAAATTGTTTTTAGGAGATAAAGGTAAGAAAATTACGGCTCTATGGTTTATCATAAGGTGTAATGGTTTCAACAGATTTTATAAGAAAAAACTCCTCATTCTTTTTTTTTTTAAATTTTAATTATTTTTACTGTAAGGCACTAGCAAAAAATACTTGACAGTACATTTTGCACGTTTGTCGGAGAAAGGGTCTTGACGGTTTGTTATTTGATGTTTAAATAAAAAATAAGAAATTTCTGATCCCTTGTTTGAAAATTATTTTTACTACAAATTTAGGAGAAACAATTATTTTTACATATTTGAATATACTGTAAATTACTCTACGTTTTTGCTTCAAACAATGAAGTTGTAAGTCTGAGTTAATTCGAATGTCTTCTTGTTGTATGGTTTACTATATTTTAAATGAAAAAACACGTTTAGAAAAATTAAAATAATATTTTACAGCATCCAAATTTTCACTTTGATTATTTAGGACCAGAAGATAAGTACAAAGTTTAATTCCTTGATACATTTTTTTTACGGTACGTGTGAGTTGTTTACTTATTAATTGGACACTTTTGAAGAAAGTACTAGGCACGAAAGTGGGGTAGATTTTCATGAAATTATCTTTAGTCTCCTAAAAATTTATATCTTAGCATAAACAATATCCCACTTAAGATGAAAATCATCTTAAGACATTAAATTCTAATGCTGACATTTTTTCTTAAAATAGCTGTAGTAAAATTATCATATGAAACTAACAAAGATAACATTTGCTCTCTACCAGTGGAATAAAGTATCAAATTCGTACAGTTTGATGTATTTCCTTGTTTTTTAAATAAATATTATATGCTTGTTAAAACATATTTTTTCCAATTGAAAGTTATTTATCAAACTGATGTTAGTTGATAGAAATTAAAGTATTTTTTATGATGTATTATATCTCTGCTTATTTCATAATAGTGTTTTAGTCATGCAAGGTGTGATGTACCGGCTGGCTATGACTTGCATGCATAACCATTATATTTTACTTAAATTTATTAACAATTAATAACTGTTTTATTTTTCAGTATTGTATGCACCTTTTTGGCAGCACATTATTGGTTTTTGGGAGAATAGAAACAAATTAGATATTTTATTTCTCAAGTATGAAGAAATGAAGGCCGTAAGTTTCTTTTTGACAATTTTCCATGATAACCGACAACAGTTTTTGTTTTTAATTATTGGTATTTCTAGGATCTTCCTTCGGTGATAAGAAAAACGGCGAATTTCTTGGGTAAATCTTTGACGGATCAGAAGGTGCGAGAGTTAGAGGATCATTTAAGTTTCGCTAGTATGAAGAAAAATCCTGCACTTAATTTAAATCACGTGGCCGGAATTATAAACAAGAAAAAAATGTTAGGTACAAATTTCAAAGCGGAAGGAGACTTTATAAGAAAGGGATTGGTTGGACAGTGGAAAACGGAAATGTCGGAAGAGTTGATAAAAAAATTTGATGATTGGATAGCTGAAAACTTGAAAGATCATCCAGATTTGCAAAAAATATTTATATGAAATTTGTTTTTTAAAACCACAACAATCATTGGTTACATCAGTATCACATAAAACTTCTCTATAATAACTATCGCACTAGTCATTGACTTCACGCACTAGTGTAATTTGCCATTTTCACGCAGTACATTTAATTTAATTTGAACATTTTGGACTGTAAAAAATATTCTAATGTATTAACTAGGCATGATTTTGTATTACACATTTGACAATCCATACAAATTTTGAATCAGCGTTGTCCATTAAACTTCTATTTGTATTGATAAAATTTCTATTTGTACTTTACATGAATTTCTTGGCGAAAATGACATTCAACTCAATGACGTATAAAGTTAATTAAATTATCGATTTGATTTTAAATTAATATCAAAATATTGCCTCACCCGCTTATTTTCATGCAGTTACGATTAAAATAATTTTATGGAAGCAAATTGTGAACCGCAACCATCATCTCCATAACATTCACACGATTATCGGTATTATCCAATAATCACAAGCTAGGTAATACAAAAAAAAAAAAAAACCCAAATTGAGTTAAAAAAAAAAAAAAGATTATCTAAAAAACAAATAAACCCAAAGCTATGTACACGCGCGCAATAATCCATCAGAGCCGAGAGGACAGTGTTCTAGCGTTTTAATAAAGTATGCGTACCACGTATACACAGAGACAACAGTCGCGGGACGAATTTTCATCCGGAAATTACGAGACCGCGGGCGCGAGGGACCATATTTACGATCGTCGCGAGCCACGAATTTTTCATTGCCAGAGACGCGCTTGAAATATGTACGGGTATTGTGCCTATATGCACGTGCCTGCGAATGTTGTATTTCACAGCGGAATTACTTTGCTTAATTTCTCCTCTGCTCTCTTCGGTCGTTGGAAAGGTTATTTTCACTTCCCAGGGCGCTGTTTTTTTTTTAGCTCCATGTTAATGTACCACATGATGAATTGTATTTCTTTGACGGGTATTTTCAGTGTTGATCAGAAACTGCTCATTATTACATGACTTGGACACGGTTGTTTTTCATATTTGTAAACACTCCAAAATAATTAAGTAATGAATCATTATAAGTGAAAAAACGTATCAAATACTTCATTCCAAATAATGATAAAACAGTGTATTACATACCTACGTCAGAAAGTAAACTACCACCACCCACCCTTGTGGCCTTACCAGCCATCAGTCATACAAGCGATGGCTAGTTTACTTTCTGTCTGCGGTGCGTATACCATGAATTTTTTTTTTTTTTTTTTTAATACACACGCTCAATAGTTTGTATATTAGTCAAGTTTAGTATTGTAATGTTATGCTGTACAAGTACATAAAACAAAAACTTTCACCGTGGAAATGCAAAAAAAAAACTTTTCCACATCGCAAATAATAGCCTAAATTTTTAGAATGTAATACGTTACAATTTTTTTTTATTCCTATTTGTAATACGATATCATGAGAAAAATTCTGATAAAGAAAAGAAAATACGTATTTAAAGTACGTTATAGTTGATGATTCATAATAAAATGACTCGGTCAATTGACACAAAAATTTTTTTTGTACTGTCGGATTACTTTTTCGATCGCTCATTACTCATTGGGTCACTTAATTAACCAAGAACCTAGGGAAAGGATTTCGAGGACTTCGAAGAGAATCCACAAGAACGAAGAATTTTCGAAGGATTTCCAGGGTCATCCCAGAATAAACGAACAAATGTATCGTATTTTCAAAGAACTTCTAAGGAACCCACTAGAATTTAATAATGAACTCACGAGGGATTCGATGAACCCAGAAATAAAAAAATAAATCTTATGGCTCTATACTATGTGAAAATTAATTTCCTCCCACAGTAGAGGACAATCTCGTTCCTCATCACACAAACGAAAATGCCAGTCGCACAATTCTGCAACACAACCGAGTGCCACGTATGAATGTAAATTCTGAAACACATCAAATTGAACTATAATTTCCGTGGTTTAATCAACTCCGGTGGGTTAAAATAAATGAATTTCCCATCGCTTGGTCAAAAGCACGCGCCTGAGCTAACGCGTATAGGTACGGATCTGCGATGCATAATCTTCGATAATCCTCATCGCGCGAACCGGTTCGATGGATGGAAACGACGCGAAAGAGGAACTCCAGTGCAACCATAAGCCTCGCAACATAAACTAATTATTCGAAAAAAAAAACATCGAAAGTATCGTCAATCAATCGTATCATGTATCCTATTATTTCCGTGGTGCTCATCCCGAGAGACGTGCAAGCCGGTATGTATCATGCACTTGTTACGTATGTGTACGAATGCGGCTTTCGTGCACGCGTCGAGGGATATAATGAAAATTCCGGGACAATTAAATTTCCGTGCTATACGTCACTTTTGTCATTGCTCATGTTATGGGAGCCTCTATGTTTGCTCGTGTATATATATGTATGGCACCAGCTGTACTTCACCTATACGTGGGTGTGGGTACAGCAATAACGCAGGCTACGAATCGATAGAGGCTCAGCAGGATTCTCGTGGCGTTTACGATGTATCGTCTGGAAAATGCGTTATTCGCAACGTCGCTCGAAGTGGAAAGGGTAATAATTGTTCAATTTTGTATCCAGCTCAACCGCAAAGTATACATACTTATAAAAATGTGCTTTGGTGTTTGGGGCTACTGTGATGCCACCATTACTTTTGGGTGCGTGTGGCACGGTTCTGAGCTTTGTTCGAGCTGCTTGCTGAGAGCCCTTTTGTTCATGTGCCCAGCTACATGTACCAACTGGTGTCGTTGGACGTTGCACGAGGACCCGTGCATATGGTGTTGCTTTCATCTGTGCACATATCCGAGGTTCTGATTTCTCTTTATTTTCCGAAATCCTCGTCATTGGATGCATTCGCTTGTACGGGACGTTTATAGCTGCGATGTTTTTAGCTTCCTCCTTCCCATTATGAGGAGTAGTAAAGAGAAGGCTCTTAAAGCAGACTAACGATGGGATGCTTTAATAAAGTTTAACTTCTTTTTTTCTTTTTTTTCTTCTTTTTTTTCAAGTTTTAGGAAGCTTTAGGATATTTTTTTTTTTTTTTTGGTAGGCTATAGTGGAACTTTGGAACTTGAATACAAAGAAATGTACTTGAAAATCTTGCTTTAAAGGGTATAAGGATTTTTGCAAAATACTTAATAAAATTAGAATAAGTAAATGGGTTTCATCACAACTAATAACGTACTATACTATCAGATAGCCTTTCTTCAAAGTTTTCAGAAAATTTCATGCCAAAAACATATTTTTCCAGTTGGAAGCTGTTTCTCAGAGAGTGTCGAGGAATAATTGTTACAACCTCTTTTTTAATTTATGACACACTTGATTTGTCATGATTAAAAGTTCTGTTTCTTTATTTTCATTTTTTCGTGTTAAAAAAAAACAGTTGCTTAGAAATAATCACACTCGCCCAATTGATTAGTGAACAATATAAAAACCTCTCTTTTATTTTTATGTATGAAAAATAGAAAACTTAATTAACCGATATTTCGTCGTTGTGTAATGCTTAATGAACATTGTAAATAGGGGTAGTTTTTCCAGTCCCAGAGTTGTTTGATTAAAGAACTCACACCCCACTGTTTCCAAGCTATACCAAAAAAAAATGTTTAAATCGACTATCGATAGGTCAGTACATGATAATTGGATGTGACTCTCATTATTTGAGGTCGCATGAGTTCTTGGAGTTCTCCTTAATAAAAAGCATATATGAATAGGATAAGGTAAGAAAACAAACCAATCAAGCAGAAACTTGTTAACGCTTTTTTTATTTTTGACTACGGTAATCTTATGAATATTTCATTATTTCTTTCGCAGCATGAAATCACGGGAATACACGAGTGAAGAAAAACGAAGGGTTCGTTGGAGTTAATTTTTAGAAAGACGAGCGAAACAGGCAACAAAATATACATAAAAATGAAAATAGCTATGTCAATTGCAAATTTTTTCGGTGTTGATTTTCGTGCTCATCCCTTTTATGTGATTGATTTTCTACGTGGATGCGCACGCTTTACTTTGTACTGCAGACATTTGCATTTTAATTGAAATTTTTCAATGAAACGAAATCGTAGGATGTTAAAAATCATATACTTACATTGAAAAATGTAACTAATACTATGTATTACATACTGTATACGTATTTTTTTTTTAACCGTCCGGAATAAAAAAGAAAATGTAAATATTCTCGTAAATTAAAAGTGTGGATTTCTTACAAAATCGCGAATTTCAATTCATTAATGGACTTGTATTTACATAAAATAAATTCAGCTTGATTTGAATGATGAATGATCAATTAGGGAAGCGCTGAAACCACATCGTTTGAAATCTATGATTCGAATCACGACGCTCGTCAAAAGAGATGCAAATAATTTATCCCCAATTACACGCTTCGCCGACATTCCGGTAGTAAAGCGAATGGGAAGTTTCCTGCTTTCACTTGAATAATGACAACAACAAAAGCAGCAGCTCAATGAAACAGCTTTTCACATAGGCTTGGCTATTAATCAGTTCTAGTCATGAATACCGCAATATCTCACACCCCTTTTGCACGAAGTTTACCGATATAAAATACTTTTAATTTTCCTTTTTCAGTAAACTGCCCAGAAAATCACTAAACATTAATAGGCTGATTTGTCCTTCTATTTACCAAATTTAATCCTCGAAAATATGCCAATTTGCGAATCTTTAGAGGAAATTCTTGGAGTAATACATTTGTTTCAAAAAAAATATAGACTAAAAACTTTTTTCTTCCAAGGAAGGCAAAAAAGAAAAAGCGCACGAATCTACTTTGACGAAAGTCAATTTGACACACGCGTTGATACGATGCGAGTGCATTTTGTACACCGTTGATGTAGGGTAGTTTTCGAGCGATGCATCAGCGTCAATCACTCGATTGGAAAAACAAATGTGCCACCAAGCTTTTGAGTGCCATTACGCATGTAGTTCGAGGATACAAACAGTGTACTTGACTCTGCTGTTGGAGGATTTTCT